ATGTCGTGACAGAAAGAGGGATCGAAGCCAATCCAAATCAAATTAACGCCTTTCTAAACATGCCATCTCCAAGAAACTTCAAAGAAGTACAACGGTTGACTGGGCGGATTGCGGCTTTGAATCGTTTTATCTCGAGATCAACAGATAAGTCGTTACATTTCTACCAAATTCTAAAAGGGAACAAAGGATTCCTTTGGGATGAGAAGTGTGAAGAAGCTTTTGGGCAGCTTAAGGCATACTTAACCACTCCACCTATATTGTCCAAACCAGAAGTGGATGAAAAACTTTATTTGTACGTGTCGGTTTCAAACCACGCGGTTAGTGGAGTCTTGGTTCGGGAAGACCGCGGGAGCAGAAACCAATTTACTACGTAAGCAAGTCAATGACGGATCCGGAAACCAGATACACAATGATGGAAAAACTTGCACTCGCGGAAGCTGCGCCCATATTTTCAATCCCATCCGGTTGAAGTATTAACCAACCAACCACTCCGAACAATACTTCATAGTCCAAGTCAGTCCGGACGTTTGGCGAAATGGGCGGTGGAATTAAGCGAGTACGATATAGAATTCAAAAGCCGGATCAGTATGAAGGCTCAGGTTTTAGCAGACTTCTTGACCGAGCTACCAATACCTAGAACGATAGAGCAACCGGAGAACCAAACTTGGAAATTACATGTAGATGGGTCTTCAACAAAGCAAGGATCCGGAGTGGGAATCAAGTTGGAGTCTCCAACATCAGAAATTCTAGAATAGTCATTCCGATTGTTATTCAATGCATCCAATAATGAGGCAGAATATGAAGCCCTGATTGCCGGACTTCGATTTGCACAAGGAGTTGGGGCTAAGGAAATAGTGGCTTATTGTGATTCGCAATTAGTAGTTAACCAGTCTAATGGAGACTATGAAGCCAAAGACTCAAGAATGGAAGCGTACCTCGAAGTGGTGAAGGATCTATCTAAAAATTTCTCGAAATTCGAATTAATCCGCATACTTCGGGGAGAGAATACAACTGCGGATGCACTTGCCGCATTGGCGTCAACATCAGATCCTGAGTTGAAAAGAGTTATTCCAGTGGAATGCATTTCGGAGCGAAGCATTCAAGACAACAAAGAAACCCTCGTCGTTACAAGGTCTAGAGCAGCGGCACGTGACCGTGGCGAACCAGAGATCGAACCGCCACCCAACAAAAGGAGGAAGTCAAAGGGATCAAATACATCTAACAAGGAACCCGTTGTCTTAGCTGAAGATGTGATTCCAGAAACGATATTAGAAACCGAGCCGTTAATCGAGGAGGATGTTCTTGAACCAAATGAACATCCCGAGCCAGAGCCACGAGTATTTCACAAAGTTGACCAAATTCCGGCTAAAAACTGGGGGGCTGACTGGAGGGAGCCAATAAAGCACTACATCATGACAGGTGAGCTCCCAAAGAATAAGTGGCAGGCCAGGAAAATGAAAATCGTTTGCGCGAAATTTTGTCTATCAAAGGATGCGTTATATAGACGAGGTGTCAGTGATCCTTACCTATTATGCATTTTTGGGCCCGAAGTCGAAATCGTCATGAGCGAAGTGCATGAAGGATTATGTGGGAGTCATTCATCATGAAGAACTATGGCTTTTAAAGTTAAAAGAATGGGATACTATTGGCCCACTATGATCACGGATTGTGTTAAATTTGCCCAAAAATGTAGGCGCTGCCAACTCCATGCACCATTGATCCATCAACCTTCGGAGTTATTCTCTTCCATCTCTGCCCCGTACCCGTTTATGAGGTGGTCAATGGACATCATTGGACCATTGTACAGATCAACTCGAGGTGTACAATACCTTTTGGTCTTGACGGACTACTTTTCGAAATGGATTGAAGCTGAGGCATATGTTGGCATTAAGGATTCGGCGGTAAAGACTTTCATTTGGAAGAATATTATATGTCGACATGGAGTTCCGTATGAAATAGTCACCGATAACGGGCCACAATTCATTTCACAAGAGTTTGATGCCTTTTGTGCGGACTGGGGAATCAAAGTCAGTTACTCGACTCCACGATATCCGCAAGGAAACGGTCAAGCTGAAGCCACGAACAAGACGATATTGAGCAATCTCAAGAAACGTTTGAATCATCTAAAGGGAGGATGGTACGAAGAACTCCAACCCGTCCTATGGGCCTATCGTACAACCCCTAGGCGACCTACCGGAGAAACTCCATTCTCTTTGGTTTATGGCATGGAGGCGGTAGTACCAGCTGAACTCAACGTGCCCGGACTTCGCCGAACAGAAGCACCGTTAAATGAGGAAGAAAATTCAGCAATGCTTAATGATTCAATAGATACCATAAATGAAAGGCGTGATTAAGCTTTGATTCGGATTCAAAACTACCAGCAGGCAGCAGCCCGATATTACAACTCTAAAGTCAAAAGTAGGCCGTTCTTCGTAGGAGATTATGTGTTAAGGCGCGTCTTTGACAATAAAAAAGAAGAAGGTGCCGGTAAACTTGGTATTAATTGGGAAGGACCTTACATTATTACCGAAGTGATTCGGAACGGTGTCTACATATTGAAAGACTTAGAAGACATGCCAGTCAAGCGACCTTGGAATGTGATCAACCTAAAGAAGTTTTATATTTAAAGCTACATGCATTTTATATGTACATGAACTACGGTGTGACTTGATCCCAAAATGGGTACGTAGGCAGCTCGGAAACGAGTTCAGCTATTAATAAAAATTTGTTTTATTTCTGTATTAAAGGGAAAGGTTCGACTGTGCGAACAAATGAAGCAAATAAAGGTTCGGCTATGCGAACATACAAGGGATTGGAAATAGAGCGTTTATTCAAAAAAAAAAAGGATGGAATGTCCCTCATCGAACACCTCGGGTTATGGAGATCTTGTTGACGAGCAGAACACTTCAACTCCTTGACCAGCAAGGTCGAGGATTGGCATCATGCAGTCCGGAATTCAAGCGAAGTTAGAGATTCCGAGCTCGACCCATTCTCCAGGGTGAGATTCAAGGATGTGAAGATCTCTTGACACCGTAGTAAGCCTGCGTTTCATCCGGTTAATCTTCTTCCGGAGTCTCCTCTTTTCCAACGTAAGCTTCCGATGTTGAAGCGCAAGTGCCTCTATGAACGCCATCGCTGTTCCTTGGTCTCTGATTGGGAGATCCCTGATCAAAGCACATGGAGCTCGGATCTGGGATCTTAAGAAGCCGCGAAGTGGAAGAGGCCGCCTATTTGGCTCATTTCGGGCATCTTCGTGTATCATTCTGATCCTGGAGAAGTCGGGCATAGATTCTGAACATCGAAGGTTGAACTCCATACCTGCTAAAATGAAAAAGAGTGGTAAGGAGAAAAGAGAAGTTGAGGCTATAATTTATAAGAGTATCATATTCCTAGTAAGCTGCGGATTCTATCCTAATAATGGAGTGATTCGCGGAGAGATTTATGCCTTTAAACTGATCCTGCATTAAAAGACGCATCTCCGAGAATATTTGAAGAATAAGGAAAATCGCAAATGCTTCCATAAATAAAAAAGGGGCCGAAGCCCATTACGAGTTCAAAATAAGTAAAGAAGTTAGAGAACATTTATGGAAGAGGCTCAGGAACAGGCTCCTTCATTGCCGGTTTAACTTTCGAAGTGGACGCCTTGTTCTTGGCATCCACTTCGGGACAATCTCGAACGCGTTTTCGACAGGTGCTGGCCTCCTCCTCGTCTTCTTCTTCGCTGTCAGATGGAACGGCATAGACCGGGGCATTCACGGGACCCGAGACTCCTTTAGCGCGGAGATACATCCGGAGCATCTTCGGGATCTCAGCGACAGAATCAAAGTTCCGCCATTCCCATTGAAAGGGATCACTTTCCAAAGCCCGTATCTTCCTCTCCACCCGAGCGATGCGAGCCTCAAGCATTTGCCTTTTGAGGCCCAGCCGCTGCCTCTCTTCACACAAGCGACGGTGTTTGTCGGCAACCTAGCATAAAGATGAATGAATAAGATGAAACAAAAAGTTTTTAATCAAAGACGACAAATATAAACCTTATCAATAAAGTCGCAAGCCTCTTTCTTCTCCTTCGAAGGAAAGTGAAAGACGGCGTGAGGGAAAAGAACGCCGGCCGGTTCAAAGCCGTCGCCAGATAAGAAGAGTGGGCTGCCGGGATCAATGGGGGCTACTTTTTCGTTTTCCATTCTCGTAATATTTCTCAAGTAAGATTCTAAAATCGTATCTAAAGAAAGCTTAGAGGTAGGTAAGCCTTTATTTATAATGGTTTAGGGTTTGTCTTGGAACCATAAATCCAATAATGGTAGTGTGCCCGAGTGGTTTAAACCATTTTTGGAAATAAAGAAAAGGCAGCTTTTGCATTAAAGACGAACCGTTTTTCCTACTTTTAAGAAATAAGAAGGGAAAGAGCAACCGTCGCATTAACTTAAAAAGTTTCTAAGGCCCAAGCCCAATAAATTTATCGAGTTGACTAAACCCGAAGTGGGGAACTCGCTTTAAGCCGAGCTCAGTTCTCGTATTCTAAAGAGAAAGGTCTGATCAGCCTAAAAATCTCGAAAGCATAACCACAAGACCACAAAGGGTTAAAAGCGGACTTTGCAAACACGCACATAATTTTAACCAAACCCCCTTGGGGTCAAAACCTAGAAAGGTTTAAAAGCCTCCTCAGGCAAATATCTTGTTCAAAAGAAATAATAAAGCCTCCTTAGGCAAAAACAAGTTCGAAATTAAGTTTTAAAATTAATGGGACAATTCCCAATTTAAAGTGGACGCAGCCACTACGGAGTAACAGCCACCTCGGACTCCGGCTCGACAGTTGGAGTTTCATTCGCCTCCTTGGCTGGTGCTTGGTCAGATGGAATTCCTGGTCCGCCCTCCACAGTACAACCATCCTCCGGGGTGACCTCCGATGTCACAGGAACTTCGGGTGGGATGACATCTTCCATCTCACTTGGGCCTAGGAAGGACGGTTCCAGTCAATTTAAAAAAAAAAAAAAAAACAAAACATAAAGTGAGGAAAAGGTAGTAAGAGTCAGGAGCCAAGCGTTACCTGCCCAGTCTAGACCCGATTCACTTATAGGAGGCGATTCAGTGAAGAATTCCTCGAAGTCCTGCGGGTTGAAGGTCGAAGTAGGAAGAGCTGCCAAGCGACTCCGCTTTTCAGAAAGATTAGCCGATAGTTCGGTCCTCTCTTGTACCTCGGAGAAATCTGTTTCATGGATTTGATCCAACAAAATCAGATTGCTCTCATGCTCCTTGATGTCCGATTCCAGGTCTGACCTAGCTTTCTCGGTTTGAATGAAGCGGATGGCTCCTTGGATCAACTCCATCCCGCGTCCCTTAACCTCCTTTCTGGCTTTCGATGCCGACCTCGCCAACTCGGAATCACGCAATTTGGCGATCGCCTTGTACTTCGCGTTAAGCTCGATAAGTTGGTTGTTCAGGGAATCAGCGGTTGATTCGGACTCGTGAAGCCTACCCTGAACACTAGAAAGCTCATCCTGGAGTTTGAAATTCTGGTCGTACTGGTCCTGCAGCTCCCCCTTTATCTTCGCCAGCTCGGATGTTAGATTGTCGACCTTGTCCTCCAGATCGTGCTTGGAGCCGGTAAAAGAGCTTAGTTCAGCCTCAAGGCAGAAAGTTTTTTCTTCCACGCGTCAATCTCCTTTTCCCGACCAAGGACCAGCCCCTCATAATGTTCAATCATGTCATTAAGCTCACCGTTAGCCTGCCATTATGCATGAAATCGAGATGGTGAGGAATTTCGATGAACGGCAGCACAATCGGAAAAATAAAGCGGAACAAACCCGAGATGAATGATGAGCGTAAAGAAAATAGCGTTCACGAATCGCAGGACGCCACTTGTCAAAGTCTGGCAAGACCGCGCCCGATCGGGTCTTGAAGCATCGGAAAACACTGCCTTCTTTCTCCATAGCTGTAAGGGAAGAAGAGTTGTAAAAATTAGAATCTAAGCAGAGATAAAAACTCTTAAGCATATGTAAATCGTCAAACCTGAAAGTGATTTGATTTGAGGGACAAGAACAGGCTTTAACTTCGAAGAAGCATCTCGAGACTCGGAATCTCCCTTTTTAGGAGATGCACTCCGGGAAGTCTTCTCGCTTTCGGGCTGGGAAGAGGAAGACATATCAACAGGTCGAGGAGGACCCATTGGTTCAGTGGGAGAGGATGATCGTGGTGAACGGTCAGTCCGGGCTCTTGATTTCTCCCTTCGCGGAGAGGAATCACTGCGAGATGACTTGTCTCTCTTCCTGCGAACCAAGTTCTTAAGTGGTTCATTGCTAAAATCATCTCGGGGAGGACGAGGAGAATCACGACGAGGAGATCTGTCCCTCCGAGGAGAACAATCGTCACGACGTTCGCGACGAGGAGAACGATCGTCACGACGTTCGCGACGAGGAGTTAATCTGAAAGCAGCGACGGATCTGGCTCCCACGGTGCTGTTGTCATCAACCAGCAGGGTCCTGCTGTAGTCTTTTTTGTCGATGGCGGTCGCAAGGAACGCCTTGTTTTCGTCGCAAGCCTCTACTATCTGCTTGGAGAGTTTCTTACGCTGGGCAGTAAAGGCCCGAGCTGACATTCCCTGAGTTGAGGGAGGAAGCGGAAGACGATGAAGTTGATTGGGGGGACTCATCCTGAGTTTTCGATTGGCTTCAACGAACCGATCGAGGGTGAAAGAATTCCAAAGGGTTTCCCCTTCAAGGATTGTTTTGAAGAACTTGACGAATTCTTCAGTCGGAAGAGACGGAGCGATGACAGCTGCGAAGTGAAACAACGAGTTTGGTCAGTAAAAAAATAATAACAACTAGGAAGGGAATATACGACCTAGTTTCTACCGGGCTTTGCAGTCCACTTCGATGGGAGTACATCGGAAAGATTTCCAATCGAAGTAGGAGTTTTCTTAATCAGGAACCAAGGATGGTGCCAATTTTTATCCTTGTTCGGGAGGTGCGAGATGATGTTCCTGTTGGCATTCGGGTACGCCGAGAAGTACCCTGTCTTCTTTGACGAACTTCTCACGCTCAAAAGCTCGTTCAGCTCGGGGACCCCAATAATATAGTCTGCTTCCGCCGCAACGGTTATGATCCCGAGGATGGTTCGGAGAAGATTGGGGGTTAGCTGAGGTAAAGCGATCCCAAGAGCCGCCAAGTATCGAACCAGGGCTTCAGGAAGAGGGAAGGTCAATCCGCAGCCCTTGAAATAGATTTCATAAACGCAAAAGTAGCCGTCGCAATGATTTTCCGGGGATTCCGTAGGGTCGGCTATCTGCGCTTCCGCTATGATTCCAGGGGGAATCTGGCAAAGCCCTTTTAATCGCTCTAAGGATGGAAGGGTACTGGTGGATCTGTAGTGTCGACCAGCTATGTCGTTAGGACGAGTGCATTCGTCATTACTGGAGCCACCTTCAAAGGATGGAGACTCGGGTCTTTCGGAGTCAGAAGTCATCGGAGAATATGAGAAATTTAAAATCCGGCAAAGAGAAAATCGACGAAGAAAGAGAAGAGAAAGTTTTCGATTAAAGCGTAAGAGTAAAAGTGATGATGAAAGAAGTTACCTCACGAAAGCTAAGTGATAATGATGAAACCGCCTTGGGAATCGTGGGGGAAGTGGAAAGGTTTCCCGCTTTAATAGAAAATAATTAAGATACGGTCATAATGGTGACAGATGTCACGCGACTAATTATGGGTAGCGCCGAAATTAAAGGGCTGATGGGATCTTGGCGGGAAGAAATCAGAAGATTCCTCGGAACGCAATCTTTGGTCATTAAAGCATTTAAAGTCCTCCGAATTGGAATAGCACTTCGAAAAACTTGGGGGGCTAATTGTTGGTGTCGGATCCCGCACCAGAAGTCCGAGACCAACCAAAGATTGCCACGAAGACAAGATAATGGCCCATAAAGGATAAAGCCCATTGGACCCGTGAGCCGAAGGAACAGTCGAAGTGGTTATCACCACTTCGAGAATCCGAAGTGATTGCGCTTCGACATGAGTTCGGTGTAGAAGACACGGGTAAGTCGGTTCAAGGACACTTGGGCCAAAAGGCGAGGCCCATAAAGACCAGAGCCAACTCAAATTCAAACGTTGAGCATTAAAGTCAAAGAATCAAAACGGACACATTTAAGAGAGAATAATTGTACTTAATTAGCCATTTAAATGTCATTTTTCTATGTATAAGTATAGAGGCTAATGGCCATATAAAAGGGATCTCTCTCTTGAGCAAGAAATACGATAGCAATTTTTGTAGCAATTCATAAGCCTTTTACGTTCTTATTTTTTGTCCCTCAAGAATAATCTTTCCTACTAATAAAAATACTTGAGTGTGTGAATCCGACATCCACAGTGGGTATAAAAAATATACCCGAAATATGATAGTAATAAAAAAAAGATCTGTATGTTTCTGGTAATTTCATATAAAATATATAACATCTGAGTAAATCTCCCTTTATTTTAATGATTTGTCTCTGCTTCCTACAGAAAAAGCTGTAGCCACGACTGTTTTGTCTAAACGATGGCAGTCTCTTTGGAAGATGCTGCCTAACCTGAAGTTTGATTCTTTATATAACGGATATGAACTCGGAACATTTTCAAAGAATGTTGGCAAGGCTTTGCTTTCATATAAGGCTCCGGTTCTACAGAGTTTGCATCTCAAAATTAGTTTAGATAAATGTAATGCAAAGGACACTGCAATGTTGATCGGAATTGCATTTTCCCGCAATGTGCGCAAGCTGGTACTTGAAGTTGAACTTGGGGAACGGTTCATATTTCCTGAAAGCTTGTACAATTGTGAAACACTAGAGTCCTTGAAAGTCAAGTTTTCGGTTCTTATGGTTGTCCCTTCTTCAGTTTCTCTTAAATCTCTTAGAACTCTAAAGATTTACTATGTGGACTTCAAAAACAATGAATCAGTTTCTAACCTTTTTTCTGGCTGTCCTAATCTTGAAAATTTGGTGGTGTATCGATCTACTTTCAGCAATGTGAATACTTTCACTATTGCGGTGCCATCCTTACAGAGACTAACAACTTGTACATCAAATAGTGTTGACCCGCATGAGGGATATGTGATAGATGCTCCTTCTTTAAAATACTTGAAGATTATAGGGACTAATCATATTGGTTTTTTTCTGATTAAGAATGAACCAGAGCTGGTGGAGGCAAATCTCACTGTTCACTATCAGATTGTCAATGAGAATCTTCTGGGATCTTTAACTTCAATCAAACGTCTTTCATTGGAAATATTACCCTTGAATGTATAGAGTTTTCAAGTTTTGTTTGTGATTAAGTTTAATTGTTATTATATTGTTTATGTACTAATGCTGACTCATGCATAGATTAAGTTTCCAACCCGTATCATCTTCCATCAGCTGGTATATTTGGAGTTTCTTACAAATGAAGCAGAGTGTTGGAATCTCCTTACCCTCATGCTTGATAGTTCTCCTAAATTGCAAGTCCTCAAGCTCATCAATGTAAGCAACTTTCATATGTCAGCAGTTTTTCCAGCTCGTTTTTAGGTTTGATATGATGATGTAATAATAACAATAACATATATTTGCATGTGTTTTACTCTCACTGGTCTCAGTATCATAATCGGAGGGAAGATGATCATGTTTGGAAATGGAATCAGCCAAAGAATGTTCCTGAATGTTTGTTGTTTCACTTGGAGACATTCATGTGGGAAGGCTATAAATGGAGCCAAGAAGGTGTGATTGAAGTGGTGAAATACATCCTAAGTAACACAAATTGTTTGAAGAGAGCAACTTTCTCCTCAAAAAACATCAGTTCTGAAGAAAGAGTTATAATGGTCAAGGATTTGAGTAGTGTGGTCATGACTTCGAATTCATGCCAGCTTCTTATCGAATGAAAAATATTTATATAGTAAGAGAGTCTATTATTCTCACATGTAATTTTTACTATGCTTTTTGTTCCATCTATTTTGGATGTCGAGTTCGTTTCGAGATGAAAAGACAAAAGAGAAAAGAAAAATTCAACTCTTATATAATGTGAGCGTGATACAATCTTGGGGTTGTTAGCTTATTGGCATTTGGAAGAGGCGAGTTAGTAAAAAACATTTGATATGTGTCAGAAACTAAGCACGGTACTAAAGCATATATGTTTTATTTGGTTAAACCAAGAATTGTAAAAACAGAAAATTAAAAATAAAAACCAAAATTTAGCTAACAAAAAAAGCAGAGGCGATTCCTTAGAGAAATCTCTTCAATGAACGTGGCAGCTTTGAGGAGATGGAAAAAAAAAACAGTTGTGGATTATTTCTTAAGCCCCAAAATAGCTGCGTTTAATTAGTGTAGTTTGTTATTAGCATATATACTTGGGAAGTTGGGAGCTATAACTTTTGCCATCTCTGCCTCTCTCCGCCTTGCACTTTTCCTTAGTTAAAATCAAGCAGCACCGTCTGCAGTTACAGGTCGAAGGTGTAACTCATAAGGATTTAACCAAAAAGCTTGACCAATGAAACGATGGTTAGTTTCTTTTCATGTTTTAGGATTCCCTAACTTGTAATCTCTGAAACTTAGGACTAACATAGCTTTCTTTGTTGTTCGATTTCGTGTTTTTGACAACAAAATGTGATGGTGACAGTAAGAGAGACATAGATGTATTGAATGCAGATTGGATCAGTCAGTTGCCTGAGGTTTTGATTCTGAAGATACTATCTCTACTTCCAACAAAAGATGCCATAGCCACGAGTGTTTTGTCTAAACAATGGCGGTTTCTTTGGATGATGTTGCCTAAACTCAAGTTTGATTGTAACGATCACAAGCCTGTACACGGAACAAAGACATTTTCAACTAATGTTTGCAGGTCTTTGCTTTCTTACAAGGCTCCAGTTTTAAAGAGTTTGCATCTCAAAATATGTTTCTCTAGATGTACTACAATTGATGCCGGAATCTTGATTGGAATTGCATTGTCCCGGAATGTGCGTAAGCTGGTACTACAATGTTCATTACTTGTGACAGTTTTCAAATTTCCGAGATGCTTGTTGTATAACTGTGAAACACTAGAGACCTTGAAGCTCAAGTATTCGGCTCGTATCGATGTCCCTTCTTCGGTTCGTCTGAAATCCCTTACAACTCTGCACCTTAACTATGTGGACTTCAAAAACGATGAATCCGTCTTTAACCTTTTATCTGGTTGCCCTAATCTTGAAAATTTGATGGTGCATCTATATTCAAGAAGGGCTTTGAAGAGTTTGAAGAATTTCAAAATCGTGGTGCCATCCTTACAGAGACTATCAATTTTTAGTATTAGTCGTAGACAACAACATTGGGGCTATGTGATAAATGCTCCTTCTTTAAAATACTTGAAGGTTGAAGGGATTTATGGTCTTGATTTTTGTCTGATTGAGAACACACCAAAGCTGGTGGAGGCAAATATCATTGATGTCTCTGATATAATCAATGAAAACCTTCTGGAATCTTTAACTTCAGTCACACGTCTTTCCTTGGCTTTGTCGTCACCCTTGAAGGTAAACTTGCAATTAGTTGAGTTGATATCACATTATATATTTTGTACTAATACTGCTTCATGTATAGATTAAGTTTCCTATCGGTAGCATCTTCCACCAGCTAATATATTTGGAGCTATATACAAATAAAGAAGCGTGGTGGAACCTTCTTACCCTCATGCTCGATAGTTCTCCTAAATTGCAATTCCTTAAACTCATTGATGTAAGCAATATAATTTTCATCTGTCAGCTATTTTCCTAATCGGTTTCAGTTTTGCTGATATAATATAATGTCATTGTGGTCATTGGTCTCAGCCACTGGGTCCGAGAAAAGATCTTGTGGCTAATGGGAAATGGAATCAACCAAAAAATGTTGCTGAATGTTTGTTGCTCCATCTCGAGACATTTGTGTGGAATGGTGACAAAGAGCAACTAGAAGAGGAGATAGAGGTGGCAAAATACATCCTCAAAAATGCAATTTGTTTGAAGAAAGCAACTTTCTCCATAAAAGGCTTTAACGCAGACGAGAGACTTGATATGCTTGAGGAGTTGGAAAGTGTGGTCAAGGTTTCGAATTCATCATGCAAACTTGTTTTGTTCTTAATAAGAGAGTCTCTGTTGTTATTAATTTTTAGGGATTTTTTTTTCGACAGTAAAAATACGTTATTAAACTTTGGATGAAAAATAGCTATTGTACAATGAGGGATTTAATCATTTAAACATGTAGGAACGAAGAACAACCCACTCATGTTCTATTCCTCTCTCTTTTTTTCCCTATACAATCATTTGTCACTTCTATATGTATTTTTAATATATTTTTATTTGTTTTCTGTCAAAAATTCTTATATTTTCCATAAATTTTTCATTTCCTATTTTTTTAAAAAAATTATTGTGTTTAACTTTGCCAATCATTTATATAACATTTGAAAGTTTAAACCAAAACAAATTATAACATATACATAGAGAAATTTCTAAATTAATCAACTAGGATATAACCCAACTTTATAACTTTATGTTGGGATATAACCCAAATTTATGGGGCAATTTTGTAAATACCAAAAGTTATGGGGCAATTTTGTAAATACCGAAAGTTATGGGGCAGATTGTAAATACCGAAAAGTTATGGGCAGATTCATAAATAACGAAAGTGATGGGGCATTCTCAAAAACACCGAAAGTTGTGGGGCAGTTTCGAAAATATAGAAAGTTAGGGGGAAATTTACTAATATCAAAAGTTGTGGGGCAATTTTGTAAATACCGAAAGTTATGGGCAGCTTTGTAAATACCGAAAGTTATGGACCAGATTCATAAATAACGATATTGATGGGGAAATTTCGCAAATACCGATAGTTATGGGGCAGTTTCGAAAATATAGAAAGTTATGGGGCAATTTCGTAGATACCGAAAGTTATGGGGTGGTTTTGTAAATACAAAAAGTTGTGGGGCAGTTTCGAAATATCAAAAGTTATGGGGCAATTGGTAAATATCAAAAGTTATGGGGCAATTTTGTAAATTCCAAAATTTTGTAAATTCCAAAAGTTATGGGGCAGATTCATAAATAAATTAAAGTGATGGGGCATTTTCGCAAATACCGATAGTTGTGGGGCATTTTCGAAATATAGAAAGTTATGGGGCAATTTCGTAGATACTGAAAGTTATGGAGCAGTTTTGTAAATACAGAAAGTTGTGGGGCAGGTTCGAAAATATAGAAAGTTATGGGGCAATTTTGTCAAATACCGAAAGTTGTGGGGCAGTTTCGAAAATACAGAAAGTTATGTGGCAGTTTTGTAAATACAGAAAGTTGTGGGGCAGTTTCGAAAATACAGAAAGTTGTGGGCAGTTTTGTAAATACAGAAAGTTGTTGGGCAGTTTCGAAAATATAGAAAGTTATGGGGCAATTTACTAAATATCAAAAGTTATGGTGCAATTTTGTAAATACCGAAAGTTACAACTTTAAAACGGCAGTGTCTATTTCTATTTCTAGTAGTATTTAAATCAATTATATCATAAATCTTATTTATTTCATATAAAACAAATAATCATTCTTACATAATATCATCGAGTCGAGAAATTCATACATCACATTACAAATTTATTATCCTGCATAATCTCTCAAGTCTCTACTGCTGAAAATATTCAAGTAATCATAAAAAAATATTTATAACAATGATTATAACAATGCTAATCGCAATAAATATTTTAAGATTAGATGAAATTTAAAAATCATGTTGGACAGTAGTAGGTCAGTAAGTGTGTGAATAAGTTAACAATAAATTAACAAGAACAAAACATGTAATAAATACTTCAATCCATGTTAGACACGCACAATCAAATCAAGTAAGCAGTAAAGAAATAAGCAAGTTAAACGAGTATATACAAGTTCAACATCAGAGAAGCAAAGACGCGAGAAATGAACTAAACAGAGAGATCGACGAAGCAGAGAAGCAAGCAATGCACTAAACAGGGAAATCAAAAAAGCAAAGAACAAGCAATTCATAGAAGAAAGTAAGGAATTAATTAAACAAGTCAAGCATGTAAAGTGTAAACAAGCAATCAAAACCGGGTGCTTGTCTCCTGGTGGTATAGGAACCTCGGCTGAGGCACCCGCCACCCGGCTTCGAGTCCCGGCCACTGCGCAATTTACCTACGGGGCGCAGCGTCCCAGACCACCAGATCCAAGGGGCCCTTAAGTGGAGGCTTAAAAATCCAAGGAACGCGGGCTTAGGCCCAGTGGGCTAGTCGGATCACAGTGTGGTCTGGACACTGGATTATCAAAAACAAGCAATCAAGGAAAGAAGAAAGTAACGAAGTAAGTAAAAGAAGGAAAGAACAAACAAGTTAACAAATAATCACATATGCAAAGAAGCAATGAACAAAGAAAAATATTCAAAGAAGCAAATCTGCATGAATATGCATGCGTGTATGCAAGAATATGTATGCGTGTATGCATGAATATGTATGCGTGTATGCATGAATATGTATGCCGTATGCGCGTATGAATGAATGAATGCAATATGTCCAGAGATTCAACAGATTGACCGAGATCACCACTATCGAAGGTATTGAAGGAGGATATTGTTAAAGTATTTGACACTCACTTCATTTCCCTCAATAGCGTAATCCGGTCGTAGTATCCATGTGAAACTTTTTCGTTTACGACTTAGCTACATTGGCTTTGAAATCTGAATCACCTGATACTGCATAACAACAAAAGGGACGATAAATTCAAACTACTACAGAAAAATGGAAGACTTAAAGAAATGAAAAAGAGATTAAAGACATACCTGGAAGAAGAATTAAACATAAGAAACTAGATGTTGTCCGCCAAACATTTTGATCTGCGAAATATGAGAATATATTATGTGCTTCTAATTCGTGAACACATCAAAGACATAGGTTTTAGTCTTATTCTATTGAATTACCTTTCCACAAATTGATTTCATGCTCCAACTCTTGACTTTTCTCCTTTACTTCAGCTGTCTTGTTTTGAGATCTACACATAGTGGGGATCTTTACACTACAAGTTCCAAAAGTAGCATCAACTTTGATTAATCAAAAGATACCTGATCAGTTTTGAGCGTTTTAAGTAGAGCATATACTTTTCACATGACCAATATAAATAACATAATTACCGTTCACAATCGTACCCAATATACCAGCTTTATGCAATTCATTTGGATTTTATGTACATCTTCAGTTACACGAACATCTCTCTTAAGAGCGTAAACCTATATACCAAAAATCAGAATCGTAAAGATTGGTAACTAATTATCTAAATAAGAAAACTGAAAGAATGTTATAACAAAAATGGAAATTTTGCACACGTTCATTTTCAAGAATTTTCAGAAATGATCTTACCATCACCACCACCACCAAAGCTTGGACACACAAAAAGGAGATCATTATAAATTTAACTTGGATATAGAAATTTCACTTGTTAACATAAAAAAGGATGTGACAAAGTACACAAAAAAATAATTACCAGATGCATATGTGGCTAGATCCTCTGAGATGACCCACTATCATCACCAAAGTTTGGACATATGAACACCAAATATGAGAAAGAACAATAACTTTAGTTTCGATATGCAAATGACGTTGTGACAAAGTCTCGAAGACATTATTTATGATATAGATACAAAAAGGATATATAGGTGACCAGATTCTTCTAGATGACTTGTAACTGTCTTGTAGCATGTCGAAATTTATGTCACCTTTCCCTTTACAGTCCTGAAACAGTTTGAGAAAATACTATGATAGTGTCGCTGATTAATTTGAAGATGTACTCAAGTAATACTTTCGAGCAAAAAGATGTCCTGATTTTATACACTTAGTGTATACTCTCTGCAATGAGTGGTATGTGCAATTTGCGAAGCAAGTATACCTGAGAAGCAAAACGACAATAATATATCAAACTCCATGTGTGTGTGGGTTACAACAAAATAAAATATCACAACTGATAAGTAAAACTAATTTTATCGAACACCAATTCAACTTCCACATATGCTCTAAAACTCAAAAATGTTCATGAAGCCTACTGTGAAATGAGTTGATTGCCGGAATCCAATGGTTGTGCCCTTAACCTAAAATGCATATTCTTTGAGTATTTATTCAACAGAAATAAACTTAGACACCTTTGTCTGATTTTTGTTGATTGCTCTGACTAGATATTTAATTGAGATGTGTTAAGACGGCAGTACCTTTTCTGATTTAGTATAGTCGTAGTGTAAACAAGTTGTCACCATGGATAGACGATCTATTCAGTCTTGTAAAACTTTCTTTCTTAGGAACATCTCACCGATTTAACCTCTGCATTTTTTTGCTCAACTAAATTTCACCTAGAAGATGTTAAACTAATGATTAGTTATGTGAAACAAGACCACTTCATAACAACGTCTTTCTTTCATGGTTAAGTGATGGAGTATTACCTGATGTAGTTGTTTTCTTTGTAAGTGAGTCAACATGTCTTCAAATTTTCTGCCATCGAACTAGCTTTGCTTGAGAATTGTGGAGTGAGCTTGCACGGCAGAGCATTTCTTTAACACATGCAAAAAGCTAAGCAAGTAAGCATACAACTTTCTAGTTCAGAATAGTCCCAAAACATCTCAAAAGAGTTAACAAAAGCAAGGTATATGTTAGAGAGAAACTAGAAGCAAATACATCTGAGGAATAATATTTTCAAAGAGTCTTGATATGGGTCATACATAAGAAAAGAGGAACTGGTTTGGTGCCAGAGAATTTATGAGGCTCTTGGTTCAGAAGTTGGTTGCAAGTAAACGCCAAAATCTCAATCCTGAACAATTAAAACAGAAAAATAAACGATTTAGATGTACACAAGATCATTTTGCATCAATATAACCCATGATACATATCTATGTAATATATAAGCCTTACAATCGATCACCTAATGAAGAAGTACAGAGAAGATAATGATCATAAACCTTGAATCATATATAATTTGGTGAAACCGCTATATAACATACACTGTAAAACGGATGGTCCATGTGGCAATGACATTGATGACGATGAGGACTTTCCCTTAATAATAGATGTTCAAGAGTCTCCATCTGTATATTATTTTCAAGTAGTAACCTAAAACTATCTAATACAATGAGAAATCAATCTAGAGAGTTAGTTATGAGTAAGGAAGTAAGAAAAACTTGAATACGTCACAAAATAACAATTAAGCAAGTAAGAAAAAAAGGAAATACTCAAGGAAGAAAGTAAGCAAAATAAGTAAGGAAACAAGTAAGAAAATATTCAGCAAATCAAGGAATCAAGGAAGCAAGTAATGAAGCACACAACTCAGCAAAGAACAAGTAATCAAGGAAGAGAACAAGAAAAGAAAGCAAGCACACAAGGAACCAAGGAATGAAAGCAAGCACACAAGGAACCAAGGAATGAAAGCAAGCACACAAGGAACCAAGGAATGAAAGCATAGCAACTGAGCAATGAATTACAAAAATAAAAAAAACGGAAGCAAGCAAGAAAGAAAGTGAGGAAGCAAGCAAGCAAATATATTACGAATCTCAAGGAACAAGTAATAAAGCACACAACTCAGCAAGAAACAAAGAAATCAAGGAAGAAAATAAAGCATACAACCAAGGAAAGGAAAGGAAGGAAGCAAATACACGCATGTAACCAAAGAAGAAAGAAAATAAATAAACAGAAAGAAAGTAAGGAAGCAAGCAAGCAAATACATTACGAATCTCAAGGAACAAGTAAAAAAGCACACAACTCAGCAAGAAACAGAGAAATCAAGGAAGAAAATAAAGCAGACAACCAAGGAAAGGAAAGGAAGGAAGCAAATACGCGAGAAATGAACTAAACAGAGAGATCGATGAAGCAGAGAAGCAAGCAATGCACTAAACAGGGAAATCAAAAAAGCAAAGAACAAGCAATTCCTTGAGCAATATTATTCATAGAAAAAAGTAAGGAATTAATTAAACAAGTCAAGCATGTAAAGTGTAAACAAGCAATCAAGGAAAGAAGAAAGTAACGAAGTAAGTAAAAGAACGAAAGAATAAACAAGTTAACAAATAATCACAGATGCAAAGAAGCAATGAACAAAGAAAAATATTCAAAGAAGCAAATCTGCATGAATATGTATGTGTATGGATGAATATGTATGCGTGTATGCATGAATATGTATGCGTGTATGCATGAAATTGTATGCCGTATGCGCGTATGAATGTATGAATGCAATATGTCCAGAGATTCAACAGATTGACCGAGATCACCACTATCGAAGGTATTGAAGGAGGATATTGTTAAAGTATTTGACACTCACTTCATTTCCGTCAATAGCGTAATCCGGTCGTAGTATCCATGTGAAACTTTTTCGTTTACGACTTAGCTACATTGGCTTTGAAATCTGAATCACCTGATACTGCATAACAACAAAAGGGATGATAAATTCAAACTATTACAGAAAAATGGAAGACTTAAAGAAATGAAAAAGAGATTAAAGACATACCTGGAAGAAGAATTATACATAAGAAACTAGAAGTTGTCCGCCAAACATTTTGATCTGCAAATATGAGAATACATTATGTGCTTCTAATTCTCGAACACATCAAAGACATAGGTTTTAGTCTTATTCTATTGAATTACCTTTCCACAAATTGATTTCATGCTCCAACTCTTGACTTTTCTCCTTTACTTCAGCTGTCTTGTTTTGAGATCTACACATAGTGGGGATCTTTACGCTACAAGTTCCAATAGTAGCATCAACTTTGATTAATCGAAAGATACCTGATCAGTTTTGAGCGTTCTAAGTAGAGGATATACTTTTCACATGACCAATATAAATAACATAATTACCGTTCACAATCGTACCCAATATACCAGCTTTATGCAATTCATTTGGATTTTATGTACATCTTCAGTTACACGAACATCTCTCTTAAGAGCGTAAACCTATATACCAAAAATCAGAATCGTAAAGATTGGTAACTAATTATCTAAATAAGAAAACTGAAAGAATGTTATAACAAAAATGGAAATTTTGCACACGTTCATTTTCAAGAATTTTCAGAAATGATCTTACCATCACCACCACCACCAAAGCTTGGACCATAACACCTACAATGATAAAGAACACACAAAAAAGAGATCATTATAAATTTAACTTGGATATAGAAAGTTTACTTGTTAACATAAAAAAAGATGTCACAAAGTACCCAAAAAAATAATTACCAGATGCATATTGGCTAGATCCTCTGAGATGACCCACTATCATCACCACTATGAACACCTAATATGAGAAAGAACAAACATATAGGAAATTACTAATAACTTTAGTTTCGATATGCAAATGATGTTGTGACAAAGTCTTGGAGACATTATTTACGATATAGATACAAAAAGGATATATAGGTGACCAGATCCTTCTAGATGACTTATATCTGTCTTGTAGCATGTCGAAATTGATGTCACCTTTCTCTTTACAGTCCTGAAACAGTTTGAGAAACTGGTTAACAAATACTATGATAGTGTCGCTGATTGATTTGAAGATGTACTCAAGTAATACTTTCGAGCAAGAAGATGTCTACACTTAGTGTATACTCTCTGCATTGAGCGGTATGTGTAATTTGCGAAGCAAGTATACCTGAGAAGCAAAACGACAATAATATATCAAACTCCATGTGTGTGTGGGTTACAACAAAATAAAATATCACAACTGATAAGTAAAACTAATTTTATCGAACACCAATTCAACTTCCACATATGCTCTAAAACTCAAAAATGTTCATGAAGCCTACTGTGAAATGAGTTGACTGCCGGAATCCAATGGTTGTGCCCTTAACCTAAAATGCATATTCTTTGAGTATTTATTCAACAGAAATCAACTTAGACACCTTTGTCTGATTTTGGTTGATTGCTCTGACTGGATATTTAATCGAGATGTGTTAAGACGGTAGTACCTTATCTGATTTAGTATAGTCATAGTGTAAACAAGTTGTCACCATGGATAGACGATCTATTCAGTCTTGTAAAACTTTCATTCTGCAGTTTTTTGCTCAACTAAATTTCACCTAGAAGATGTTGTTAAACTAATGATTAGTTATGTGAAAACAAGACCACTTCATAACAACGTCTTTCTTTCATGGTTAAGTGATGGAGTATTACCTGATGTAGTTGTTTTCTTTGTAAGTGAGTCAACATGTCTTCAAATTTTCTGCCATCGGACTAGCTTTGCTTGAGAATTGTGGAGTGAGCTTGCTCGGCAGAGCATTTCTTTAACACATGCAAAAAGCTAAGCAAGTAAGCATAAATCTTTCTAGTTCAGAATAGTCCCAAAACATCTCAAAAGAGTCCCAAAGCAAGGTATATGTTAGAGAGAAAGTAGAAGCAAACACATCTGAGGAATAATATTTTCAAAGAGTCTTGATATGGGTCATACATAAGAAAAGAGGAACTGGTTGGTGCCAGAGAATTTATGAGGCTCTTGGTTCAGAAGTTGGTTGCAAGTAAACGCCAAAATCTCAATCCTGAACAATTAAAACAGAAAAATAAAAGATTTAGATGTACACAAGATCATTTTGCATCAATATAACCCATGATACATATCTATGTAATATATAAGCCTTACAATCGATCACCTAATGAAGAAGTACAGAGAAGATAATGATCATAAACCTTGATTCATATATAATTTGGTGAAACCGCTATATAACATACACTGTAAAACGGATGGTCCATGTGGCAATGACATTGATGACGATGAGGACTTTCCCTTAATAATAGATGTTCAAGAGTCTCCATCTGTATATTGTTTTCAAGTAGTAACCTAAAACTCTCTAATACAATGAGAAATCAATCTAGAGAGTTAGTTATGAGTATGGAAGTAAGAAAAACTTAAATAAGTCACAAAATAACAATTAAGCAAGTAAGAAAAAAAGGAAATACTCAAGGAAGAAAGTAAGCAAAATAAGTAAGGAAACAAGTAAGAAAATATTCAGCAAATCAAGGAATCAAGGAAGCAAGTAATGAAGCACACAACTCAGCAAAGAACAAGTAATCAAGGAAGAGAACAAGAAAAGAAAGCAAGCACACAAGGAACCAAGGAATGAAAAGCAAGCACACAAGGAACCAAGGAATGAAAGCATAGCAACTGAGCAATGAATTACAAAAATAAAAAAAACGGAAGCAAGCAAGAAAGAAAGTGAGGAAGCAAGCAAGCAAATATATTACGAATCTCAAGGAACAAGTAATAAAGCACACAACTCAGCAAGAAACAGAGAAATCAAGGAAGAAAATAAAGCATACAACCAAGGAAAGGAAAGGAAGGAAGCAAATACACGCATGTAACCAAAGAAGAAAGAAAGTAAGGAAGCTCGCAACTAAGCCATGACTAAAAAAATAAGTAGGCAAGTAAGAAAGTAAGGAAGAAAGAAAGTAAGTACAAAGGAAGTTAGTAACCAAAACAAAAGCAGACAAAGAATGAAAGTAGATAAACAATGAAACATTTAAGTAAGAGTGAATTGTGAAATCAAGTATGCAAAACCTATATACCATTCTCTGGTTTCTGAGATGAGCTGCAAAAGAAAAGAGACACAACATCAATCTGTAGAAACAAACTCAAAAGACCAACAAGAAGAAGAGGATATACCTTGAATAAATAAATAATAAAGACATAAAACTGACTTGTTTTGGTACCAAAGATTCCCAGAAGACACATGAACAAATGATCTTACTTATCGGAGGATGCGTCCATAGAAGCGAGAGCAGCGGAAATTTAGGGTTTTATCCCGAAACATGTTCCTGCATATAAATTCAAGCCGCTATATGAGAATTAGACGAATTTAATCAATACCCAAATTCGCATAACATTAGGGTTTTTCCAAATAGCCATAGATTTTAGAAATCACCATGAATCATCACTTCGTATCTCGCTATGTTTATGTTATGACTGATGACTAAAGAAACGATCAACAAATTACAACTACGATCCCTAATTTATCAATCAATTGTTAATCGGCACTAAAATCTAAAACAAACCTAGATCAAGAGACAAAAAAAAAAAAAAAAAAAGCGATTCAAAATCTTGAAAATAGACTCGACAAAAACGAAATTACAGAGGCAAATCATACAAGAAAACCAAAATAATCTTCCGAAACAAAGAAACCAAAAGAAGATTTGGATTAGAAACATACTGTTCATGAAGCGAGAGAAGAAGAAGACCCAAACGCTCTTCGAAATTCGAACGGCTATTTTTCATTTTCTCCGTTCGACTCTATCTATATGTATAACGACTCAATTTTATTCGGTTAGATATTATTATTATATCTTGATATTGATATCTGAATATTTCAAATTTTTGAAAGTAAAAAGCCCATTCTAAACGAGAAGGCCCATTCTAAAATTAAAAGTCAAGAAGGATGATTGATTGGTGTTGTGCTACGATTTTTTTTTATTTGTTTTATTTAACTTATGTTATAATGTAGAATTCTTTTTTTTTTTGTTACTATTATACAAATGATGTCATACAATTTGTTTCAATTCTTTTCCAAACAGACTTTTATATTTTTTTTGTTTTAAACAGCCTGCACATTTCTTTTTTCTAAAAGTTTTTAATTTTTAATAGACTTGACATGCATTATGTACATATTTAAATCGTATAACAAAAACTTATATTTGACTAGTTCTACAACGCAAAAATTAAGCGTAATAAATTGTGGAATATTCTCAAAATGTCAAAGTGTAAAAAAGATATTAGTAACATTTGAGAACCCACATCAAATGAAAGATAGAGAACACAATCCAAATAAGAAAACATATATACCTTAACTAAAAGAATCCAGTACTACTTGTTTATTTTACATTTTCTTGAACGTTAATGAGAACATTGTTTCAAACGTACAGAACCCTTCAAAACTATATAATTTGCTAGCTGAAAGAGGTTAATAACCTCTCTACAGATCTTCAACGGCAGCATGAAATACAATGACATCAGCATCTTCTACCAGCTGGTATATTTGGAGCTTTATACAACTAAAGAAATACAAATACTACATTGTTTCTATACTAATATTGTCTAGTGTTTAGATTAAGTTTCCTACCGGTAGCATCTTCTACCAGCTGGTATATTTGGAGCTTTATACAACTAAAGAAGCATTGTGGAATCTTCTTACCCTCATGCTTGAAAGTACTCCTAAATTGCAAGTCCTCAAGCTCATCGATGTAAGCAATGTTCATATATATGTCAGCAATATTTCCAGCTTGGTTCCAGGTTTGCTGATCTTATAATAAACATACAATGTGGTTTCCTCCTCACTGGTTTCATGAAGATGTTTTGGAGAACCGATCTTGTAGTGGCTCGTGATGAATGGATTCGGCCAAAGAATGTTCCCGAATGCTTGTTGCTTCATCTCGAAACATTCATGTGGGAAGGCTACATATGGGAACAAGAAGATGGGATTGAAGTGGCGAAATACATCCTCAGTAACACAAATCATTTGAAGACAGCTACCTTCTCCTCAATATTCACCGGTTCTGAAGCGAGGCTTTTGGTGGTCAAGGATTTGATAAGTGTTCTCAAGGATACAAATTCATGTCAAATTCAATTCAAATGGTAGAACATATAATATTTTAGGAGGGGTCTTCGTGCTCACAAGTAACGTTCATTATGCTTTTAGCTAGTTCAGCCGATTTCTATGGATTTATATCTGTTTTAGATGTTAGAGTTTAAATCCACGTACGTTGTCATTTGATGAGTAATTGTAGAAAACACATTTGATGATGATATATTCATAGGGTCTTGAGGTTTGAGTTTTTGATGCAAACGTAGCTTGTTGGCATTTGGATGAGTAAGAATCTAAGAATGGTAAAAATAGAGAAGTAGTCAAATGCTTCTGGCCACTAACACATCATATGAATTTCCCCAAAGTTTCACTCTAAACCTCAATTACTTTAATATGAAGAATTTAAAAACCAATTAAATCAACCGCGATTAGCTGTGGAGGAAGGTACAGTTGGAGGGCTTAGAAGCTTCTTGACATTGTTAAATCTTCTTCTTATTTTCATTCCTACTGCTTCTTGTCTCTTTCCTTTTTGCTCCTTAATCAAGAACATAAACACATTAGTGCGTTAGATATATTTGTGGTTGTAATTATATTTATGGTTACCTATATAGTAAAACTGTTTTATATATATTCAAACGCAAAATGCAAACAGAAACACAAAATGTTGTATGCATATATTTTACCAAACTCAACATTTCAACCACTCAAATTTCGTATTTGCATTTACTAAAACATATGTTACCTTGTTTTCTTCCAATATGTTCTTGCTCCGTTGCAAATCATCAACGAGGTCTACACATATAACAATTGTATTAATAATAATCAAATGTAGTTTAGTTCTTACCCAAAATTAGTAAACAAACAAACTTAACTGTCATCATTAGGATCTCTAGGGAAAACGCAATAAATTCGAAAACTCGGAGATTCAGGTGAAATTTTTAGCTCATCTCCTTTCTGTTCTTCATCTTCTTTCCATTCATTTTCCTCCTCTTTACTCGTCTTTTCGCCACTAGTTTTGGAATCTTTACTATGTGTAGATATCTCAAGAAGCTCTTTATTGGATATGAAACTATCGGCAGTTTCACTATCTTTACCGATAGATTTTTGCCGATATCCTTCTTCTTGTCCTTCTTCATCTGTCTCCGGCCTTGAAACACCACAACCCATGTTGTAGGAAAAGCCGGAGCAAACTCAAAAAGACAAAAAAAAAAAAAAAAAAAAAATGGGACAAGGAAAAAGTAGTTAGAGGAAGATAACGTCCATTGACACTAGAAAAAAGAAAGTCAAATCATTTTTCTTAGATTACCAAACACAACAAAGTAAAGAACCACGAATTTAATGGGAGATTCTTAACCTTTGAATCGTCTCTTAACTAAAATTAGAGAGAACCAAAAAAAATAGTACATTTTTAGCAAAGTTTGTTATTTCTTCCATATCTTTTCACAGCAAAACCATTAATTATCATCATTACAAGATAGAAAAAAGGTTTAGAAAAAACCCTAAACCTTTTACGTTCACACAAAACGTAGATTTTTTTTTTTTGTAGTAGTAAACCGATTCAAGATAATTTAAACAGAGCAATAAATCCTCTGATGATCCTCATATAAACCGGAATGTATGTATGAAGTATGAACCAAATGAGTGGCCGGTTTGTTTAGTTTCAATATATCTTAGATCACAAGAAACTATTTTCTAGTTACAGTAAAACCTCTATAAATTAATAATGTTGGGACCAGAAAATTTTATTAATTTAGAGAGGTATTAATTTATAGATAAATTAATAATTATTAATTTATAGAGTGATTTTTCTAATTTGGTAATTTCTTAAAAATTTCTATCTAAAAATAAATAAAAAAATTTATAAGCAATATCTTTTTAAAACCAATTGTAAGTAGAGAAGCAATTATTAAGTTTAAAAAATAACACAAACTTTTTTGAATAATAGATTCATATTTCATTAAACTTTTTACATATAATATTTTAAATATATATCGTAGTAATTCATATATGAAATATATAAATTTATATCATATATATATTAAGTTAAATATACATATATATATATATATAGTAAGTTTATATAATTATTAATTTATGATATAAGTGGGACCATATGTTTACATGAGATTTTCAAAAAAATTATTATCTTATTAATTTATCGAGTTATGTCATATTTTACACTGGTCCCAACTCGGGACCGGAAGAATTTATTAATTTACAGAGATTATTAATTTATAGAGTATTAATTTATAGAGGTTTTACTGTAGTTTTGTTTTATAGTTCTGATTCAGATTTATGTAAATTAATAAGTTAATCGAAGGTAAATTTTGGACAAATTCCTACTTTTCATTAGATTCGGTTCAAATCTGGTTTTGTAACTAATGTATTTGAATATTTTATCAGAAGAAACAAATTGTAATTGAATATTACCAGCAGGATTATAGATATTTCAGTCTGTAATTTGAGAATACTGTTTTCAATGTAGACGTGTAATTCTTTTTTTCACATTGCGATGTGATATACATTAGACCAACAAAAAACGTTACAGTATTTACATAGGCATTGTTGTCCTCTCGAAATTTAAGTAATATTTCACTGGTTACTAAATTGTTTTTTAAAAACCTTATTAAAATGATGTTTTTGTGTTCGGAAAAACATATTTTTTTCTTGAAACATACTCCCTCTATATCATAAAGAACGAGGTTTTATTTTTGTATCAAAAAGATTTTCTGTAAAAAAATTTCAATTAATGTTAATAAATTGTGAATTTTAAGAATTATTAATTGAGAATTTTAAAATTTGATGAATTACTATTGGTTAATAGTTATGGAAAATGATTTAGTACGAATAAATAGTGTATTTATAACTAAACATTAAATGTTTTTCTTAATTGGTTTGAAAACTCTACAAAATCAAATTTTTTGAATTTTTTTGTTAAAGAAAATCAAACTTTTTGATAAAAGGGAATATTATTTTCTTAAAACCACAAGAACAAATTATGTAGAAGAAAAAAAACCACAGAAGTAACATAGCCAATTAATGCTTAAAGCATATCTATCTAAGGCTTTACCACAACGGGTCATGTTATGCAAAACAAGTGTATCAAACTGATATTTTTTTAATGGCGAGTGCGAGTGAGTTGGCGATTTCGAGTGCCGGAGATCCGGATGCAGCTATGACGGATATCAGTGAGCAGGGTCGTCCTCCGGGAGATCCTCCAGATGTTTCCGGATCATGGGTGCAGAAGGTTACGGGTGTTAGCTTTGGAGGAAGACTGTTGCCGGAGAGATTACTGGATGATGGGTTTGTTACAGAAAGGGTGCACTTGACTTTTCCAGAGGGTGAGGATGGGGAACCAGAGATCACGATTGAGAGAGAAGTGTTGGAAGCCATGAATGGCTTGTGGAAGCAATGTATGATTGTCAAGGTCTTGGGGCGTAATGTTCCTATTGCGGCGTTGAATAGGAAATTACGGGAGATGTGGAACCCTAGAGGATCGATGTCAGTCATGGATCTACCACGACACTTTTTCATGGTTAGATTTGAACTTGAAGAGGAGTATCTAGCGGCTTTAACCGGCGGACCATGGAGAGCATTTGGGAGCCATTTAGTGGTTCAAGCATGGACTCCGGAGTTCGACCCTTTGAGGGATGAGATAGTCACCACGCCGGTCTGGATTCGTTTATCAAATCTCCCAGTGAACTTTTACCATCGATCAATACTAATGGGGATTGCGAGAGGGTTGGGCAAACCCATTAGGGTTGATTCGACTACGTTGAATTTGGAGAGAGCTCGCTTTGCAAGAGTGTGTGTTGAGGTGAACCTCACTAAACCACTTAAAGGTACGGTAATGGTGAATGGAGATAGGTACTTTGTGGCTTATGAGGGATTATCAAACATTTGTTCGTCGTGCGGGGTGTACGGACATCTAGTGCATAACTGTTCTAAGTTGGTGGTTGAAAAGGCTAATAAGGTAGTGCCGACCACAAGTGTAGCGTCAGCTGGCGGTGCGGAGGTTGTCAGCGGGCCACAACCGGAAAATGATGGATTTACGGTGGTGCGTAAGGCAGGAAGGCGGCCGGCGAAACCGGCTGCTAGGGTTGTGGTCACGGCCCGGGAATCAGAGTCAGATTTGGGAAGAAATCTTCAGGAAATTTCGGAGAATATTATGGTATCTAACAGATTTGGTGGTTTGGAGGAAGATTTGGTAAGTATGGAGATGCGGGAAGTTACCATATTGGCCGGAGGTGATAAGGAAAATATCAATCAAGATCAAGAGAATATTTCGAAGACAGGGAAGAGTGTTGAGCAAGGAAGGAAAGGCACGGAGGCCTCGCAAATGTTTAAGGGCCCGAGTGGATCTAGAGGAAGCTCATTGCCCAAAAAGGCCTTGGGGCTTAAACAGAATGGGCCTGCTGGATCCAAACAAAAATATAAGAATGTTAACAGGCCCAGTCGTGGGCTCGTGTTTTGCCCAACTCGTGAGGAGTTAGTATTAGCAGCGTCGGGCAAACGTTTGAGAGTGGAAAGCAGAGCCGTGGGTCGCCTGGGAGGAGTTTTTGTCAGGGAAGATGGCAACGGGAAGGTGATCGGGGATCATTCGCGGGGAAAGGAGGCGAATGCTAACCGGAACCAGTTGGTGCTGACTGAGGAAGGACTACAGAACGGGAGTGAGACGCCGAGTGATCCGCCGGAGGAGGAGACGGGGATGACGGAGGCGTAATGGTGGTCCCCGGTAGTTCAGTTCTGCTATATCATATTATCGATGAATGCTCTTTTTTGGAATTGCCGGGGGGTAAATAAACCAAATTTCCGGAGATCAATTCGCTACATGTTGAAGAAGTTTACAATAGATATTTTGGCGGTTTTTGAAACACACGCGGGTGGTGAGGCGGCAAGCAAAATTTGTCGGGGGTTAGGATTTGAGAATTCGTTTAAGGTGGACTCAGTGGGACAAAGTGGAGGTCTTTGGTTGCTCTGGAGAAATAGCGTGGGAAATGTGGTGGTGGAGGAGAGCACACATCAGTTTATTCATGCTTCAGTTACAAATGGAACGGAGAAGATGCATTTGATCGTCGTGTATGCGGCCCCAACTGTGAGCAGAAGGAGCGGGCTCTGGGGACAATTAAAAACGGTGATTCAGAATGTGGATGGTCCGTTGATAATTGGAGGTGATTTCAATACCATCATAAGGATTGACGAAAGAACAGGTGGTAGTGGTCGACTCTCAACAGATTCTTTGGCGTTTGGGGAGTGGTGCAATGATCTTTCTTTGATAGATATGGGGTTCAGAGGGAATAAGTTTACTTGGCGTCGAGGGAGAGTGGAGAGTACCATTGTTGCCAAGAGACTGGATAGGATCTTGTGTTGTCCGGAGGCAAGATTAAAATGGCAGGAAGCAGTCGTCTCTCACCTTCCATTTCTTTCTTCTGATCATGCTCCACTTTATATTCAGTTATGCCCTGAAGGGAAAGGAGACCCGAGTAGACGACCATTCCGGTTTGAAGCGGCCTGGATGAAGCATGACAGTTTCAAGGCATTGTTGAATCAGTCTTGGAATGAGAATTTAAAGACACCGGATGCTCTTAAGAGGCTGCGAGTGATACTGAAAAAATGGAATAGAGATGTGTTCGGGGATGTTCATAAGCGGAAGGAACAATTGGTGTTGGAGATTAAGATTGTTCAAGATGCTTTAGAACAGAACCAAACAGATGCTCTTTTAAAACGGGAAGAGGAGTTAATAAAGGAGTTTGATGTGGTTTTGGAACAAGAGGAAGTACTTTGGTTCCAAAAGTCTAGAGAGAAGTGGATTGTCTTGGGGGAAAGAAACACTACTTACTTCCATACGTCAACAATAATTCGGAGAAGGAGAAATAGGATTGAAGCTTTAAAAAATGATGAGTGACAATGGGTGACGGACACAAAGGAGTTGGAGAATTTGGCTGTCACTTATTATAAGCGTCTCTACTCCATGGATGATCTTGAGAGGGACGTTGAGAGTCTTCCAGCTGCGGGTTTCACGCGTTTGCTTAGAGGGGATTTACAGGATCTAAGTAAACCATTTATGGCGGAGGAGGTGGAGAAGGCCGTAAGAAGTATGGGACAATATAAAGCCCCGGGTCCAGACGGGTTTCAACCATGTTTTTATCAACAAAGTTGGGATGTTGTTGGTAGCTCGGTAATCAGATTTGTGCTGGACTTCTTTGACACAAGTAGTTTACCGGAGGAGACAAATGACGCATTGGTGGTATTGATAGCGAAAGTGGAGAAACCGGAGAAAATCACACAATTTAGACCAATTAGCTTGTGTAATGTTTTATTTAAACAATTACTAAAGCTATGGTGATGAGATTAAAGAGAGTAATGCCTACTCTCATAGGCCCTGCGCAATCAAGCTTTATCCCGGGGAGATTAAGCACGGACAATATTGTTCTAGTTCAAGAGGCAGTCCATTCAATGAGACGCAAGAAAGGAAGGAAAGGGTGGATATTATTAAAACTTGATCTTGAGAAGGCTTATGATAGGATTCGCTGGGATTTTCTGGAGGATACCTTAAAAATTTCAGGGTTACCGGAGAAGTATGTGGGCTGGATAATGCAGTGTGTTATGGGTCCATCGATGAATGTTTTATGGAATGGGGAAAAGACGGAGGCTTTTAAACCATCACGTGGTCTTAGACAAGGAGATCCTCTCTCGCCATACTTATTTGTTCTTTGCTTGGAACGGCTTTGTCACCAAATTGAGATCGCGGTTGATTCAAAGGAATGGAAAGCTATTAGTCTTTCTTGCGGGGGACCGAAATTATCACATATTTGTTTCGCCGACGACCTTATTCTCTTCGCAGAGGCGTCAGTGACACAAGTACAGGTGATACGGAAGGTGTTGGAGAAGTTTTGTAGTGCTTCGGGTCAAAAAGTGAGCTTGGAGAAGTCAAAAATATTTTTTTCTAAAAATGTTCATCGGGATTTGGCTAAGTTGATTAGTGATGCAAGTGGTATTAAGTCAACTTTGGACTTGGGAAAATACTTAGGCATGCCGGTTCTGCAAAAGAGAATCAACAAGGATACGTACGGAGAGATTCTTCAACGAGTTAACTCGAGATTATCCGGGTGGCGAGGTCGTTTTTTGAGTTTTGCAGGTCGACTCACGCTTACTAAAGCTGTTCTTGGTTCAATTCCAATTCACGCTATGAGTACGATTCATCTTCCAGCATCAGTTTTGGATAGCTTGGACCGCACGACAAGATCTTTCTTATGGGGCAGCTCGCAGGAGACGAAGAAACAGCACCTGGTTGCTTGGAACAGAGTTTGTGCTGCAAAAACAGATGGAGGGCTGGGAATTAAATCAGCCAAGCATATGAACAAAGCGATGTTAGCAAAGTTGGGATGGCGGCTAATTCACGATCGGGAAAGTCTATGGGCAAGAGTACTGAGACACAAATATAAAGTTGGCGATGTGAAAGATCCCCGGTGGTTGGTGAAGAAGGGTAATTGGTCGTCGACATGGAGGAGTGTGGGAATGGGTTTACGTGAGGTGGTATTACCGGGAATAAGTTGGGTGCTTAGAGACGGAAAGACAATCCGGTTTTGGACTGATAAGTGGTTCTTAGATAAACCATTAATGGAGCTGGCTTCGCAAGTGGTTTTGTTGGAAGAGCGGGACATACGAGTTCGGGATGTTTGGCAGAATGGGTGTGGTTGGGATTTTACACGCATTGGGAACTTGGTATCTCCGCAGATAAAGCTACAATTGGCAGCTTTGGTGGTGGATAATGTGACTGGTGCGGTTGACCGGGTTTATTGGGGGGGGGACTTCGAATGGTCAGTTCACTGTAAAGTCAGCTTATGCTTTCCTTACACAAGATGATTCGCCGAGACAGTGGATGGGGAAGCTTTTCCGGCGGGTGTGGCGTGTCAAAGTTCCGGAGAGGGTTCGAGTTTTCTTTTGGCTGGTGGTTAACCAAGCAGTTATGACGAATGTTGAGCGGCATAGGCGGCATCTCTGTGAGTCGGGTTCATGCCAGGTTTGTAAGGCTGGTGAGGAGACCATAATTCACATTCTCCGCGACTGTCCGGCAATGGCAGGAATCTGGCTGCGCTTAGCACCACCAAGGAAGAGACAGGCTTTCTTTACGAAGTCAATTCTGGAATGGGTATATGAGAACTTGGGAGAGGAGGAAGACTTTGTCGGGAGCCCTTGGTCCACAACTTTTGCTATGGGAGTGTGGTGGGGATGGAAATGGCGGTGTGGCAATGTGTTCAACACTAATGGGAAATGCAGGGACAGGGTGAAGTTTGTTAAAGAGATGGCCAAGGAAGTATCCAACGCCTTTGGTTCAGCTGCGGGGTCCGGACATGGTCAAATGAGAGAAGCAAGGATGATAGCTTGGAAACCGCCAGAGAGTGACTGGGTTAAATTAAATACAGATGGAGCTTCTCATGGTAATCCGGGTAGAGCGACGGCAGGAGGAGTCTTGCGAGATAGCAGTGGGAATTGGCGGGGTGGTTTCGCTTTGAACATTGGTATATGTTCGGCGCCTCTTGCGGAGTTGTGGGGGGTGTACTATGGTCTATATATAGCCTGGGAGCGTGGATTCACGAGATTAGAGCTAGAGGTAGACTCGGAGATAGTGGTCGGTTTTCTAAAGACGGGGATAAGCGAGTCTCATCCGTTGTCTTTCCTAGTACGTTTGTGCTATGGCTTTATTTCAAGGGACTGGATAGTCCGGATTTCACATGTGTATAGGGAAGCTAATCGCCTCGCAGACGGATTAGCGAACTATGCGTTTTCGTTACCTTTAGGATTTCATTTGCTTGAGGCTAGACCGGATGTTGTTAATCATATTGTTTTAGATGACATTCCTCTGCTTACCAAAAAAAAAAAAAGAGCCAATTAATGAATGAGGGAGGAAGAAGAAGCAGAGCAATCGGCGCATTAATGGCGAAAAACAAATGCCATTAATTCTCCTTCTTCCCCACTCATTTATTGCTCTTCTCTCATCTCTTCTCTCTCTCTCTGACTCTCTCTTTCTTTTTTTTTGTTCTACGTGCAATTCAGAAACATTGATTTCATGTCAGATCGTAAAATTCAAAAAAAGTCAAATTTACACGACGAACATACAGAAACCCATGACTGATTTGATTTTACCCATTTCTCTAATCTCTCTATAATTATATCCTTAACATGGGTTTATCTAAAGACACAACCTTTAATCATGGGTTTGATCCAGATTTTGTTTCTAATTCTAATTCGATAGTGACTTCTTCTCTTGGCCTCCATTTCCCAGCTCCCTTGTGGTGGACGGTGATGGGTTAGGGTTAGGGTTAGGTTTTGGTGGAGGAGCTGAACAAACTGGGATCACTGATCTTATGTGAACAGCTGGAGCTAGTTTCTGATTGTTTAACCCAAAACTTGAAAAGGGCAAAAGCTTACTATAACAGTTTCTCTCCACTGATGATGATGATGATGATGGAGATGATGTTTTGATTATGAGCTCTGGTTTAGGATCATCTAGGCTCTGTTTCTTCTCTGCATATTCTTGACATTTCTCTAGCAATGATTTGACTTTGGATTGTTGTTGTGGGAGATTTGTTCTTGAAGGCAAGAATCTCTGTGGTGGTAGAATCTCTGTGGTGGTGGAGATGATGATGAAGCTTCGTTGGTATATAGATTGATGGATCTGAGATTCTCACACAACAAGTCTCGTGTGGTTGTTGTTGTTGTGTTTTGGCGAATTGTTTTGATGACTGTTCTTCTTGACTGGTTTGGTTCTCTTCTTTTCACTTCTTTGGGTCTAAATCTTGAGAGGACTCTTGCAACTACCTCTTGTTCCTTCTCTTCACCTCTCAATGGGTCCAAACTTGGCACTGTGTATGTAGCTAAGTGTGAAATGAGAGACATAACCAATAAGATTTGAGTAAAAAAGTTTGGAGTTTGGAGGTACTTTTTCTCAAGGAGAACCAAGCTGCAATGGCTGCATTCTTCTCAGCTTGCTTCTTAGTCTTTGCTGATTCTCCATTAAAACTCATTCCAGCAAGCTCCACAGTGCAAGAGAACGTTGGGATGTGACCAGGTCCTGATCTCACACTTGTGTAAACCGGTAGATCAAGACCAGCTCTATGTGCTGTCTCTTGAAGCAGATTCTTATAGATCCCAGTCTCATCCTTAGAGAAACAACCAAACATCATTACACTTTGCAAACATATAAGAAACAACTTGCATGCTTTTGAGGAGATTAAGACTTACTAGAACTCTAGCAGTTAGAGACTTTGAAGGACCCTTGGAAGAGAGAGCACTAAGAGCAACTTCAGCAGCTGAATGCTCAGCTTGTCTGAGAGTAGAACAATAAGTTGGGCTTTCAAATATTTCACCATTAAAGTTTACACTAGCTTTGAATCTTGGAGCATGATCTGGTCCTTCTCTTGTGCATGTATATGATGGGAGATTGAAACAACTTCTCTGTGCAAGCTCTTGCAACTGATTCTTATACATCTTTTGGCCTATGACAAAAAGCAGAGAGATTGAGAAAAAGAGTAAAGAGCAACAGAATTTGAAACTCCTACTTTATCCTAAAATTGAAAAGCTGGTGAGTGTTTAAAGAGAAGACAAAAGGAAACCCACCTGCTTAAATTGGTATTTAAGATTTGGTGTCTCTTTATAAATAAACAGAAGAGCTTGTCTCTATCATGTGATGGACCTTAAGACTCTACAGTGTTCAAGAAAGAGAGAGAAGTAGCAAAAATACAAGAAACTCACTTTGTTAAAGTTGCCATTGAAGGTTTTTGGTGTAATGAGTAACAAAAAGATTAGGGCTCTCTGATGTTGAAAGTGAATTTGTAGACAGAAAGATAAAGATGAAAAGAATAGTTTCAGAGGTTTTAGAGCTCTCTCACATGGTGGTTCTCTCACAAGCAAGGTTCCTAATAAAGAGGAGCAGAGGCTACTAAATGATAATAGTGACATTTCAATTGAACCATGGTCCATGTTATATAAATATATTAGTTTTATATATAGCACTGATGAAAATCTTATCGACTCTTTTTAAGATCCTGTCTTTATGATCTGATGTTTGTGTGACAAGCTTAGATTTGCAGAAAATTAATTTAAACTCTATAATTCAAGGCTTTAATTATTGATTTGGACATTTTCTTGACTATATCTTTGACTCAGCAGAGACCTTAATACACACTTCTTCTGTGACATTGTTCTATCAAACAAAAACAAACTAAATTAATTTAGAGGCAAAATAAATTAAACATTAGGGCTCTTATGCAATAAGTGCAGAGCCATGCTTCAATGAACAACTATAAAAATGTTCTGTCTTTTGGTCCACATGTCTTTGATAATTCAGTTTCAGCTCCTTGATAGTAACATAGAAACTTTTCTGTTTTTATCGTAACTTTTCTCTCCTCTACCTTAAAAACATAGATCTCTGGTTAAATGTATTAACACAACTAGAAGAAAAGAAGAGGAAAAAAACAAATCCAGAAGAAAGCTCACTCATACAAACAACACAACAATTCAACCTGTGCTTTACCACAACAAAGCCCAACCAAACCCAACACAAACACTTTCCACATTAAGAACATTAGCAAGTTCTTTCCCTCCATAAACCACAAACCACATGACTGATTATAAGCTGAATAATCCAAAAAAAAAACACATTTGAAAAAGAAAAGAAAAAGAAACTCTCCTCAGATTTTCTCTAAACCTGTATTCACCATACCGAACTTCGGCTATGTTCTTTCTTCCTTCCGTGCTAAACCGTGTATTCAATTATGTAGGCCGGTTCTCAGTCACTAAACCGCTTCCGCTGCTGCTTCCTCCGCCGTTCTGGTTTTGTTCTCCTACTCTGGCTGCTAAGGCCATAACTTCTGGTGACATGTCCCAGCTTCCGCTTTTCCTTCCCCAGCTTGAGCGTCTCGGGTGTATACCTGGCCTATCACTCTGTTCATCAACTGTTGTCCTAATGTCTGGAGATAGCTCGCCTAACTCACCGTCCTTAACATGTAACCGCTCGTTACCATGTTTACCGTCACCATGATCTGACATTGCTGGACCCATGTCTGCCCAAACAGCCTTCCTTCCCATTTCAATCTCATCATTGGCTTTACCCATGTTTGGACTCATAAAACCACCTGCTACAGATCTAGGAGGCAATGGAGGCTCACGCTGGACCATAGCTCTAAAGTTGTTCTTTGAAGGAGGGATTGTGGAAAAAAATGTTTCTTTGAAGTTATTAACCACTCCCTTGTTATGTGGGTTGCTTCGCCGATCATATCTGTATCGGAAATTCTCATATGTAGTCTGCAAGAACAAAGATAAATCAATGGTTACAGAGATTCCGTGATTCCTGAAGAGAGGATGGGGATTGGATGGTAGCAACATACCTGGTTCGTGCTGATGAGATATAAATGGAAAACTGTTAAGCCACCAACAAACCACATTGATATGAATGTGTAGATTATTAGAACAATGGAGGCAGGAGTTTTAAGCATTGCCTTCCAAGTGGTTGTGTGCTCTGATTCCATAATCTTTCTTATATAGACCCAGCAGAAGGCAAACACATATATACAGAGAAGGGTCGTGGAGAAGACAAACATGAAGAAGAATCGGTAGTTCCTCTGCAACAACCATCAGAAAATGAGATTATATTTAGGGAATTATGGTTTGTGTGGATAGCTTAAACACGTGATCAGTTGGATTGTGACTTACCATCCCGATACATTGGCCAACCCAAGGGCAGTGATGGTCAAACCTTTCTACGCAGTTGTTGCAAATTGAGCAATGGGAGCAGCGAGGCGGCCTATAGAGCATGCAAGTGTCGCAGTACTTGACCTTAAACGTGATTCCATTAAGCTCTACTTCCTTAATGCGAGGCAGTCGCAGCTGCGGAGTCTGGCCAGCCCCTGCATCCATGTTTCCATCAAGGGCTTCAGGCTCTGGAGGATGAGCATTTCTTGGGATAATACCTGGATCTCTTCCGGATGTAAGCAGCAGAAGAATTAAATCCTGAGGAAAGAAACGGAATCAAAAACTTTGTGGGTACAATCATCAGCAATAGAGACCATCTGCAATGCAAAGAGAAAAAATAACTATACTTACATAAATGGTGAACACGACGGCGACAGCTACTATTGATACTCCCCAGCTATCGGAGAAGTCATCAATTAGCTTCCTTGCAACAAAGATGCAGAAAATTGTAACAGGGACAGCAATGAGACAAATGGTCAGCGCCAATGATCTTACATCTGGCCCAAATACAAACCTTCCCTGAAGAAAGAATATCTGCCAAAAAAAACGGGAAAATAAGTGAAGTTAACAACACTCCAGTAGAGAAACTTTCGAAAACAAAGCACTCCCCAATAACAAAAATCATCTAGGAAAACATTTCACCAATGGACTGTTGAATCAGTACATCACACAAGTCTCAATCAGTACTCAGAGTAAGGAAACAATCAAGAAGTATTTAGAGTCTCTAGCTGATGGCTTGAAGCAATACAAATTACAAAGAGAAGGTTATTCAAAACCTCCTTATACACAGGCATCAACTATATATATACAAAGATGTCTGTCCAAAGTAACTCAATCCATCATTGAGCTATATTCAGATAAAGTTAAAATGCCTTGTTCAGCTCAAAAGCATCTAAAGCAACCTATGAAAACGACACCAAAACCTAGGATTCACGAAAACGCATTAGCTAGATTCTCCTAAAGACTTAATAAAGTTCCAATTTGAATTAGGTTGAAATTGAGACATAGTTAATCTAATTTAATAGACTAAACAATAAGTAGAAAAGGGGAAGAGTAATGAAGCATATATAGCTCGAAGAAGAACAAAAACCACAAAAACAAAAAACCCAACTCAAGAAAAAAAAAAAAAACTCACATTGCTGCCTTTCCAAGTTTGGTAAACCCTTAAATCACCATTCGATCCAGAATCAGATCGCTGAGGAGGAGGCACTACATACATCTCTCAACCTCAATTTCTACTACTTCAATCTCACGACGGCGTCACCAAGACCTGAGCTTTATAAACCGTTTCTTCACAACTAAAAAAACCCAGATAAGGAAGAAGAAGGGTAAAGTCTCCGGCGAAAGGATAATTCAGATTTCCGGCGAAGTAAGCCGACAAGGGCACGAGTAAGCCAGCGAAAAAGAAGGGTTTTTTTTTTTAATTTGCCTTTGCCCTCTTCTTCCCCCAATTTCAATGGTGGGTTCCTTCCCCCACTTTTTTTTTTTTTGTCTTCTCAAACAAAAAAAAAATTATATAACTAAAAAAGAAACTGTGACCGTCGTTTTTTTAGTCTATCTTTCTTATGTTGACAGATAGCTGACGTGTCTTTATTTCATTGGTTTGTCACTTAGTAAACGCAGTCAAAATTAGTTTTTTGGTTACAAAAAGAATAGTGATTATCTTTGTTTTTTAAATCTCGAGGGAAAAAGGTAGAAAGAAAAAATGATGACAGGCAACATTTGGGTTATGATGGACTCAACCTTCTCTACCTTCTCTACCTTCTCTATATAACAAAATATTCTTTCAGCCTTGAAAATCTGAATTTACCCAAGTGGGCCTAACTATATATGTTCATTCAATTTTTAAATACATTTTTCATAACATAAAAATTTTAGAGTTAATTTGTGCAGAAATAAAAATGGAACATGAAATTAGGTAATCGACATTAGTGGATTTCGTCACGAACAAGAAGAAAATAAAGAAGATAACTAGTATGAAGTTCGACTTAATAACGAAAAAACCAGGCTTGATTTTAAAATATGCACGTGGTGGAAAAATTTATGCCTTTTAAAGCATCTGAAAGAACAACATGACGTTTAATAAATGCTCTCAGTTGAACTGATATAATTGATAAATATTCACCAGTTAACATAAAGAATGAGGTGATGGTTCATTAAATGCAAATGACTTTATTTGAACTTTATCAAATTTGAATCTGTAACAAAAACAGTTTTAGACGAGAATCGAAAAATGTAAACAACTAACATAGTTGCATGGGCACCCAATAACTAGTTCTTCGAATTTTTAAACAACTAACGTAGTTGCATGGAAATCCAATGAATATTTTACACGATTTTGACATTTGTATACAGATAAACACATACATAAAGCGTTAGAAATAATTAAAATGTTAAATAATTCTGTTTATGTGTACATATAAATACATATATATATATATATATAGAGTTTTATTAACATTTGTATACATGTAAACATGTATATGAAACGTTATTAAAATTTGTATACATGTAAACACGTATATAGAGTTTTATTAACATTTGTATATATGTAAACATAAATATAAAGCGTTATTAACATTTGTATACGTGTATGCACGCTACTATATATATATATATATATATATATATTACAATCATCGTATCCTAATAAGTGGAGATCTACGAGAAGCAGTGGATGTCTAAAAATGAATATAACAAAAACAAATAGAGATACAAGTCGATCGGAAAAGGGGTATCAGAAAATTTAGAAAAAAGCTTCAGAAATCAAAAGACGAAGATTGAATAAAAAGATGAGACAATGATGGATCATAACGCATGAACAAACGAAATTGATTCAAAAAAATTAAGATTTAAAAACGGTTCAAGAGATTAACAAGCATCTGCAGATTTATCTTCCACCGGTTTACTAAAATAGACAGGAAATCTCAGCGAAAAACTAGACGTAACGGCGGTGTTTATCTACTTCTCCGAATTAGATACGAACTGAAGAAATCCAGATGGAAAGAAGATGAAACTTAGCGTTTAAAGAGATGTAGAAGAACAGAGATAAAGTTAACCCAAGCGTCAGATGCAATAAATACGGTTTATTGTTTGGACATATTTTCTCTAGCACGTGGGGTTAAAGTTGGCAAAAAAATGGGCTAAAATTATCGTTATCTTGGGCCTTAAAAACATAATACCAAAAATTTAATTTCAACTAGATCGGTTGTCTCTCACCCAATTATCTCAAAATTTTATGACGGACTCAACCTGATATTTGTATACATTAGAAACAGTGTTCTAAAAAGCGGTTTCGATAGTTGTTTAGGCTCCGCCTAGACGTTAGGTGCTCAGATGACACTTAGACGATCGTTTCGACTGCTTAAAATCGCATAAGTTTTATGTCAGTGTATTCTTACAATTTTTAACTACATAAATTTAAATTATAAATTTTAGCTTTATTAATATAGTTTGATATGAATTAAATAAGTGTTTTGTCTAATTTTTGTTTATGATTTAATATTTTTATTTTTATAATAGATAGTTTTATATGATTTTTATCTATAATATTATATTTATGATATGTTATGTTGTAAACGTCTAAATCATCTAAACTCCGATTAAGCGTTCTATACTCTAGACACTCTATCCGATATTTGTAAGAAATAAATGTGATCTTAGTAACATAAAAATAAACATAAATCTAGTATTAACTAGATTACTATCTATAGATGTTTAATAAAAGTTATTTTCTAACAATAGTCACACCAAATGGTGACCAACAGGCAACAACAAACTGAACCAAATATAACTTGAAAAACAGTTAAATAAAAAAGTTTCTTCACTTTCATGGACTCGGCGTTGGTGGCGTAGTCCCTCTCGGCCGATTCACGCCGGCCCAAGAAATAGCATCATCCACGACTAGTCTCCTTCTCTCAATAGCTTCTTCAGGACTTTCTCCTTCTTCTCTAACCGTAAATATCCTTCTCGTCTCATCCGGTGAGCTCGATGTCCCCGCCCCATCCATATTTCCTTCTCGTCTAAGCCTGCTCCTTTCTTTCCTCATTGTGTGATCAACGATATATCTTAGAGAATCCACGACCTCGCTGATCAATGGTCTAGCGTTTGCTTCTTCCATTAGACACTTCATTGCCACTTCGATACTTCTAAAAACAACGATACTCGATAAACGGCCTTTTGTTAATAACATTGGATCTACAATCTGCATTACTTTGCCATCCAACCACAATTGTCGTGCCTATTAAGAAAAAAAGAAACACATAAAAAAGTTTGTCATCGAAATCGGAACATTCATTAGTCTAATTAATACGTATGAGATATCATTAAGGGCCATAACACGAAACTCTTTTTCAATTAGAATAACCGAAATCAAAACCTATATGGTAAAAGGTCAATAGTAAAAACACTTATTTTAATTTCTTAAGAAAAAATCAAATTTTATAGCATATGGTTAAATCTAAAGAAGCAAAGCCTATAAATGGTCATAAGAAAAACGAATCCTTTCTTAAGCAAAATAAGGTTCAGAGGATTACCCAATGCACAAGATAGCGACTTTGAGTACCAACGCATTCGGATGAGGGCAAAAGAGCTTTGCGTCCAGTGATAAGCTCCAACATCACAACTCCAAGGCTATAAATATCAGATTTCAGCGTCAATTTCCCGGTGTTCGCGTACTCTGGTGCACAATACCCTTGAGTTCCCATAACTCTAGTAGAGACATGAGACATATCACCACTAGGACCAAACTTAGCAAGTCCAAAATCAGAGAGCTTCGGTTTATATTCATGATCCAACAATATGTTTGAAGTTTTCAAATCTCTGTATATCACCGCAGGTGTTGCTTCGTTGTGAAGAAACGCTAACCCTTTAGCCGCTCCTAGGGCTATCTGCATCCTTGTGTTCCAATCTAAAGCCTCTTGACCATCACTAAGATCTGACAAAACAAAACAAGAATTAAAAAAACTTTAATGAATCTCGTTCTTGATTAATATTTCTTGGTTTGAGGTTTTGGTTTTATTTACCGTAAAGATGATCTTCTACAGATCCAAGAGGCATGTATTCATAGACAAGGAGTCTTTGATCGCCTTCAGCGCAATAACCGAACAAATGCACAAGGTTTTGGTGGTGCAAGAGAGAGAGCATTAGGACTTCCACAAGAAACTCTTTGTCTCCTTGAACACCAGACTGATCAAGCACTTTAACAGCTATGTTCTTGAATTAAGAACAACAACAAAACACAAAGACAGACACAGTTCAGAGATTTCGCAAGGACAAGAGACACCCCACAGATTATTGAATTGATTAGTCCAAAGGTTATATATTACCTTTCCATTGTTTAGCCTTCCTTTATACACAGCTCCGAATCCACCTCTTCCGATCAAAGATTCTTCCCTGAAGCTGTTAGTCGCAATGGCGAGTTCTCGGTATGAGAAAATCTGACATCTGTATCTAGCAGAATCTTGCACTACTGTTTGTGAACTTGACGAAGGTATTGCTACTGTTGCAGCTGGTTGGGCTACACAGGAACAAAACAACACAATGAGAGACATATCACATATGTCACTGGATCATAAGTAGATTAAAGAGACATTATTGATCAACCAACTAAACAAAATCTTTGAACTATTAAACAGAAACCCTAAACAGAGATTTTTATGATCCATATAGACTAATCATAAGACAAATACTTAATAAGCTATTTAAAAGAAAATGGAGATTTTTGATCAAGTTATAACTAATCACTGGTATTAAAGATTGACTAATCTCAAGATTAATGTATAAATAATAAAGGATCAAAGGAAAGGGAGAGGAACCAGAAGAGGAGGATGGCTGGTTAGCCTGGTTACGTATGGATATCTGATCAGAATTGTCTTGGAGCTTCATTTTCCGACCGGGACCAAAACACAAGCAACAAGCCATGTTATTAATCTCAAGGAAAATAATCAAAACACGATCTCTTTTTTGTTGGTGTCACTCAATAAACAAAGATACACACACACACACTCTCTCTCTATATGGTTTATCAATAGGGCTCAAGAGATCACACACGATGACAAAGAATTAACGGTTTTGTTATAAAAAAAGATGAAAACTTTGAAGGAATCAAAAAAATCCCCAAGAAACACACGATCAACAGATTCGAGGTTTTGGGGATAATTCGATCAAAAATAGATTACAAAAATACGAGAAATTTTGTGAGGTGATAAGGGAATTGATAAGGAAGGAGATTTAGATTAAAATTCGAAGGTTTTTGTAAATTTTGGGGATTACGATAAGATTTGATTGAAGGGTTTTTGATAGAAGGAAAAGACACGTAATCAACAAAAGTGAACATGGGGGTGCAATATAAATGGTACGTTACTCACCAATTGCTTCTTTCCTAAGTTCATATGACATAAAATTATTTATTGTTTGAGCCTTTGAGGGTAATAATCTACAATGTTAATTGTTTTATAGGAAGTTTATCCTTTTATTTATTATTGTGATAGCTGTTGGATTATAAATTTAAACTACTTTTTAAATTAAAAATTAGAAAAAATTTCGGGCGTTAAATATTTCTAATAATGATATAACAGATGATAACGGTATGTTTGTTATGCATTAAACAAAGGTCCAGAACTATAGACGTAGTGAAAAAAAAAATTATCAACGTTTTAGGAATTCAATGAAGAATTTTTTTGTTGGTTTTAGTGCAAATAATTTTAAATCACGAAACATTGATTAAACGTTAAATAAGTGTAATGCAAAAACCGCTGAGATTGACAATTCTGATAAATAAATCCATGTAACTTGATCTAGAAGTATTAAAGATTTTCTGTCTAAAACTCAATAATTTTATGAACGGACGATGAAAACATATATGAATAAAATGTAATCAGGCTGAATATATATTTTAGAAGATGTTTTTTACTAGGTTTAACCTCAAAATGAGAAGACCGCATGTAATGGCAAAATTTAGGCCAATATATCGATGCAATGTAAGTTAAAAGATTTTATCGAAGATTCTCTGTCTGAGACATTAAACTGTTCCCAACCTAAATACATTCGACTTTTATTTCACAGTATTTAATATACGATAATATGAATTAATAATTATCGGAAATGTTATTATGGTTTCTTTGAACTTTGTGAGTAGGGCGGCTTATCATTAGATTGCATAGATCTTTTGTAAGTTGTTTAACCCGTCTATGTTTATCTTCAAAATGGAAATACCGTAATGGCTGACAAATTCAGAGACGCATTCGACTTGCTTTTTATGGCATAAAATATCCGATCGGATAAGATATTTCATGGTTTGTAGAAATTTTATGGCTGTGAAAGCATGCATATATGAGTAATTTACTTGTGTAATATATGAGTAATTTCAAACTCTTGGACTAATCAATATCGTGTATCATCAGGTTTTGATTAGCGGACAACCCAAATGCCAGTTTACTTGCAAAGGCTATCTCACTCTCCTTTCTTATTATTTTGTGCATAAAAGACTTAAAAGTTCTAGTAACAAACCTATGAAAAGAGGAGAGGAAAACTGTATTAACAAGTATTATAGCTCGTGGTTACGGAAAAAATCAAGATAGAAATCACATGAAATATGCCTAATTAAACGAAGGGTCACATGAAATATGGATGTTCATCAAGTGATTTAAAAAAAAAAAAATCCATATGAGTATGTGTATTATGAGCTTATCATACGTATGTGTGAATTGGCAAAAATTGTATGGTGCGATTTTGAGCGTGAATGTGATCATGAGGATCTCTAGTTGGATAATAAACCAAGATTTGGCTTTGCATATAACTTGTAAGAGAGATGTATTATGGTGCATGAGAATCAAAGTGTCATTAGACATTTATGTGTCACTTACGCTTTGTCGAAAATCCTCTTCCTCTCTCATTTGATCGTCGTTCTCTCTAGTTAATGTGCTCTGATTACTCTTAATTTATAAGTTAACAGCAGCGACCATATAGTCGCTGTGAGCCACCAAAGTCTTCTTTCACTCGATTTGTTCTCCTCCTCTTTAAACATGTTTTTAGCTTCTCGCTTTGGTCTTCATCATCATCTGAAAACAACTAACACATTTGAGACTTTGATCGTGTTCTTCTCTATATCCACTGTGTGAGGTTCATATTCGAAAGTTGTTTCTGTTTTAGGCAAGCCTTTGAAGACGGCTCAATGATGGTTAACGTTGTTGATCGGGTTAATTTTTACCTCTTTACGATCGGTAAAGATACTGGCATTAGTCCTGGTTAATATTGTATCGTCTAACTGATATAAGATTGGAACCAATCCAACTTATGATCACTCAATGATCAAGAGATTCCAAGCTTAACTTGCGGAAGGTGGAATTCACGAGCTGGCTATAACGCACTCTCTCGTGAATCAAGGGATGGAACGATGGATAGATGCGATTGACTCACTCAATCAATGAACAAACCAGAAGTTTGAATCACTCAAACAACTTGATTTGCAGACTCAAAAGAACTTAATTGACTCACTCAAATAAGAACTAATGAAAGGAAACACAAAGAATTCGCAACTTTGTGGAAGAAAAGAAAACAATGTTTCTTATGAACTTTAAAATCTCGATTAAGGGTGTTTTTACAATGAGGAATGAGGTGAGCTTTTATAGGCTCGTAATACAATGTTTTTTATGTCTAAAACAAGTAGCAAATCGCAAAATTAAATGAGAAACTAGCCGTTGGAAATGAAATGGCAAAATCCGTCGAAATAAGGAAAGTAGCCGTTAGCTTGTATCTTGAAAGCTTGGGGAGAAAGTGGTGCGTCCTGGAAAGTGAAGGTGTGTGAGGATCCGCCTGATCCTATGTGTCTTGGTGCACCTTAGAGTGTTGTAGGGAACTTCTAGAAGTATCTTAAAGTCTCCTGGGCGCCAATGGTACGTTTGGAGTCTCCTAAACCCGAAAGGTTCCAAATAAGGCAAGTGTAGGCTCCTTCGGTTTAGAAAATTAATATCTCTCAAACCAAAATTGGTATTGACTTGATTCCAACTCTCTGTGGTTTTCTGATGAGTTAAGATTGTATGAAAATTCAGTTCGTAACTTAAATCCTTCTGGTCGGGTCGGAATCCTCCAATGACTATGTGTATGTCCAAATCGGGCAAGCTGGGAATCACCCGACTTTTAAATTGAATAACTCGTTCGTGTGAACTTCTTTTGGGCTGATTCTTCTTCGAGGTGCTCGGTAATTGAGCTGAGAATGTATTCCAAGTGATCTCTGGGCAGGAGGAATTGATCTTTGCCTTCGTCTGGACTGAACAAGGCTCAGGGGTCTTCTCGGATAGGCTGAATCTGCTTTGGCCCGAAGTTGTAGATAAAACTTTGTTTAAAATCCCACTTGGCTGCTCCTGGGTTGTTTTTTTCTCGCCAATAATCTTCTCCATGGTTGGTTCTTGGGTTGATGACCGCATCACTAACTCATGTGAGTCATGGAACCATACGCCTTAAAATTTGGAGAATGTATGATTATGATTAAATCTCGAATGGGAAGTTAATATATAAGTTATCAAATCTAAATACAACGTATTTTTCTTTTTGTAATCAGATTTTATTTTTCCATCTCTACTTAAATTTTGAACGACGATAAGAGTAAATACTCCCTCTGTTTTGATTTAGTTATCGTTTTAACACTTATATTTGTTTTCTATATAATAGTTACAGTTTTAGATTTTTAATGCAGATGTTTGGTAAAAATTCTAATTTATTCTCACTGTTTTAATTGTTTTCTATGTGCAAAAATCTTAATCGACAAGTAATATAAAACGGAGATAATAATGAAATTGACAATCTGCAACTGGTAGTAAATTGAAGTTTCACAAACCGGGAATCAATTTTTTGTATTAGGAAAAGTTTGATTCCACGAGATAATGTTCCATCTTTAATGTCTGACAACAGCATTATTCCTCTCTTACCACCTACTAAGATCTCATCTTTAATCCACTCTGTTTCTAATAATAACACCAAAAGTCTTACTTATATGAGCTGGATTTACTTGATTTCGGTTTAATTAGTTACTTCGGTTTGGGTCTAGTTATTTAGACATGGTAAGAAAGCCGGTTCAATTCAAGAAAGGGATAGAGATTTGAGAAATAAAACCAGCGACTACATTTAACCAAGAGACCAGAATTTTTTTTGAAGAAGTCATTAAATGATTGTTACAGTGCTTAAGTACTCTTTCTTGGCACTACAATAGGCGTGGAACCGGTCTTCGTTAACAGTGCCAATCCCGGAAAGCTCAATGCCGAAAGCCGCAATCCTACGAGTGTCCCGTTGGATGGGTGATTGCCACAAACCGTCCCACCAACCAGGAGGTGCAAGCGGCGTGAAGGCGCATTGGTTTGGCTGTTTTGGACAGCTTAACGGTCCAGCGTATCGGTTCCAGACATGTCCCCAACCTACCTGGTTCTTCAGACCGTCTGCTAACAAATTGCTCTGGAAACTACTCAGGAACGCAAAGCTTGAGTTGCTCGAACCATCCTCTGTGAATTAACCAGTCAAGGAGTACTGTTAATGAGACGGATCAAAATAAAAGAAAAATAAGTGTGAGGAAACTAAAATAAGATCTTAACTGAGACTGTTTGCAGCGGCTAATGCAGCAACCAACTGAGCATAGGTAGTCCCAACTCGCCTGTTAGCACCAGAGATCACCCCATGTTTCGCACGGCACGCGAGGAAGAAATCTACAAATGCAACCCACCTCGGTGCAGGACCCCAATCCTTTATTCTAAAATCTAACATTGGTAATCCGCGGCCACGTTGAGCGATATCACCTCGGAAAAGCTTGTAGTCAAAATGTAGAACCTGAAAACCATTGCAACTGACTTAGTTAGCAATGGAATTGAAGAATTTATTTGGAAGATCAGAGCGAGAGCGAGTTTAATAGATCATTGATACCTCAGCAATGGTGCTGATATTTGTTTTGATAATTTTCACCACAGATGGAGTGTCAGACACTATAACCACTCTCGGGTTCGATATGCCAAGTCTGTTAATTGCTTTCCCTAGACAGTTTATCGCTGCACGCATAGGTCTAACAGATCTGGAGAAAATCATGAAAGGAAGATTTAGTCAACCAGCTCAACAACAACAACAAAAAAAAAGACTTAGATGCACGTTTTAACATACTTGCTCATCAACATTCGCATGTGCACTGAAATATCAGGATCCCCAGTCTCGTGTAGAACCCAGTCCACTGCTTCTTTAACATCTTTCGTGGGAGATATGAGACTCATCATCAACTCTCCAAACATATTACCTCGTGGTGCCGAGTTTCCTTGATCTCCAAATAGCTCAAATGCAGCAGCTCTCATCTCAGGATGCACATTCTTGAGGAAAAACTGAGCTGCCACAGCGTCTGTAGTGCCTTGAAACCTGAAAACCATATGCTCGACTCAGTAATGATTATAACTCCACAAAAATAGATTCAAAGTTGTATCTTTTATATTTATTTTCTTCAACTGACCATATAATAGCTTCTTCCCATTTCTTCCAATTACTGCATAAGACATTACTCTTAACCGGTTTCTCGAAATCATCCAATCTCATTACAAGCCGCCTTTTGTATTTCTTCACGCAGCCATTTTGTCGCCACAAATGCTTC